TACTTCGTCTTTTTAATGTAAGTAATTAGCGATGTTATCAATTTGATTTTAGTATGTAATATAAAGTTAAAAGGGAATAAACAATGTTAAACGACGTTGTTTTGGATTGATATAAAGTTGGTCTTTAAGAAAAATCATACAAATTTTGTTATGAATTTAATTTCCGTTCAATAAAAATACATCTCAAAATTTATGAATTTAATATTGTCGTTTCCATTCTATTGTGAAACCAGCACTTTATCATAGCCTTTTGACATTCATACCATACACCGAGAGCTTCCTATTATCCTCATATTTTCCTGTTTTCTTCATAGATCATGTAATTTGTTCAAAAATAATTCTATTTTCGGATGAAAATTGCATTGAATTGGATTTTGCGCATTGCTTCTGTAATTATGTTAACGCATGAAAATTGATTTTGTTTGATTCTTGACTTCCTGTAATTTGTTTTATGGTGAATATATATTTAATTTAAAATATATATTAAATTTGGTTTGATTAAAATTTTTAATTTTGATCATTGGATATTAAGGAAATTATTAAGAAATAAATAAATTCGTATTTTGGCTATATCTAATATTTTAGTGGATTCGTTGAAAGAAAATGTTGCCAAAGTGACCTTTTTGCATAAATTAATTTATTTAAAATATCAAGTTGATTATCTGTTCTTGTAATTCATGCGTTTATTACCCAAAGGAAAGTTAATATTTGGCTAGGTTTCAAGCGACACATGTGGTAATAAATATGTGACAATTATAAGGTATTTTTGTGTGAGCGTTACATTAGTCCAAATATTAGTCTTTTGTTCAACATAGTTTATCGTCAATGTTTGATTACTACAACAAGAGTATTGTTTACTGTTAGTATTATTGTTCAAAGACTTGGTATTAATGTAGTATTTGTTATCCATTATTTCGAATTTATTTTTTGCTTATGTGAGCTTGTTATTTATTTTGTTCAGCTAGTTCTTTTGCAGCCACATTTTCTACTAATATCAATGCTTAATGGGACAAATTTAAAGGAATGAAAAAAACCCTTACTTATAGTGCTTGGTTGTATGGACATAGACCTTGCATTAAGGGAATAACAACATGCACCTCTCATTACGGAAAGCAAACCTGATGCAAAAAGGGATTTTAAGAGGTGAAATCGTTCAAATCGCACGAGTCTGATGATAAAGAAACACATCACTCTGAAAGCCTTTTAGGTCACATAACCTGAATGGATTACTAAGGCTAAGATTTTCCTTGATGAAATTGAAAAACGTTTTGTTAAAAATAATAAGGTTGAGATGACATCACTTCTGGCTTCTTTGATGTCTATGAAGTATAAAAGTCAAGGAAATGTGAGGAAGTACATTATGAGAATGTTCCATATTGCTTTAAAACTTAAGACACTTAAGATCGAGCTTTCTAAAGATCGAGCTTTCTAAAGATCCACTTGTTCTTATGGTTTTGGTATCACTTCCTACGTAGTTTAGTTAATTTAAAATCAGTTACAACTGCTAAAAGGAGAAATGGACTCTAAACGAGCTCATATCTCATTGTGTGTAAGAGGAAAAAAGGTTGAAGTAAGACATAACTAAAAGTGCTCACTTGGTATGTGCCTCTAAAGATAAGGGCAAGAAAAAGAAACATCAAAATGAATATGTTAAGGATCTAGCTCAAAAGAAACAATAACATGATAAAGAAAGTTGTTTCTTTTGCAATAAGTCTAGACATGTGAAGAAAGATTGTACCGAATATCACATTTGGCGTGCAAAGAAATGTATGGATCTTACTTTGGTCTATTCTCAGGTTAATTTAACTTCAGTAACTAGAAACACTTGGTGAATAGATTCTGGTGTTATTACTCACATAAGTGTTTCTATGAAGGGTTGCATGAACTACCAAAAGTTAAATGATGGTGAAAGATACATTTTCGTGGACGATGGAAAATCAGTAGAGGTGGAAAAAATTTGAAATTTTTGGTTGCTATTAGGAACTTATTACTATTTGGATTCAAAGACACTTTTGTTGTACCATCTTTTAGGTGAAATTTGGTTCCTGTTTCTTTATTGGACAAATATGGATATTATTGTTCATTTGGAAACAATTAGTTTACTTTGTCTTTAAATTCAAATGTTGTTGGAACTGGTTATTTGAACGCATATGGCAACCTTTATTTACTAGATTCAATTACATTCTATAATGAAGTCTTGCACGTGTAATCATGTGATACTAAACAAAAATTAAGGAAAATTCAACATCATTATGGCATAAACGCCTAGGTCATATATCAAACAGTAGAATTTAGCACTTAGTGTCTAATGGTATTTTGGGGTCCATTGTTTTTTCAAACTTTAATGTATGTATTGATTGTATTAAGGAAAAATAGACCAAAACTAAGAGATTAGGTGCTAACAGATCTACATACATCTTAAAATTAATTCATACGGATATTTGTAGCCATTCCGTACAACATCCTAGAATGGTCAAACATATTTCATAACATTCATAAACGACTACTTACGTTATAGGTGCATATATCTCATTCATGACAAATCTTAGCCTTTGGATGTGTTCAAAGCTTACAAAACTGAAGTTAAGAATCAACACAACAAAAGAATTAAGGAAGTCATATTTGATAGTGGTGGTGAGTACTACGGTAGATATGGTGGCTTAGGTAAGCAACATCAAGGACCATTTGCTAAATTCCTAAAATAATGTGGTATTGTCTTACAATACACCATGTCAAGATCACCTAGTATGAATGGTGTAGCTGATATACATAATATAACTCTTAAGGATATGGTAAGGAGTATGATTGCTCATTTTACCTTACCTGAGTCTCTTTGTGGAAAAGTGTTTAAAAAAATAGTTTATATTCTGAATATAGTATCCATGAAAGCAACTGTAAAACATATTATAAGCTTTAGACATACCAAAAACCTAGTTTAAAGCATTTTCACATTTGGGATGTCCAGTTAAGGCAAAGCCTTATATGCCACATGAAGATAAATTGGACTCCAAAACAATGAGCAACTACTTTATTAGCTACTCTGAGTGATCTAGGGACTATAAATTTCATGATCCCATAATTAATAAATTTTTTGAGATGGGAAATGCAACATTTTTAAGAATGTTGAGTTTGGAGGGAAATAAGGTTAATGACCTTACTTTTAAGCAGTAATTGAATTCTAATTCAATTCCTACTATCACTTTGATGGTGTTCAAGTTTCTATACCTATTGAAATGAATCCAGAATCTCAACAAGATCATGTTGGACAACTTCCTATTTAAGATGAGGTAATTTTTTCAGAAGAACAAACTCAACAACCTCAAGAACAAGAGTTATTAAGGAGATCCACGAGACAAAGAAGAATAAATGCTATTCCATATGAGTACATTGTATTTCTTCAAGAAATGAGGATGATAATGGAATGATGAAAGACGATCCAATCAACTTTCATTAGGTCATGAAAAGTGCTAACTCTCAAAAGTGGATCGATAAGAAGAGTATAAGTCCATGCAAGATAATAAAGTTTGGAAACTTGTCTCATTACCTAAAAGTGCAAAACCAATTGGTTGCAAATAGATATTTAAAACTAAGAGGGATGTAAACAATAATGTGAAAAGATATAAGGCACGCTTTGTAGCTAAAGGATATAATAAAAAAGAAGGCCGCTTTGATCTTATATAGATATAGTTGATGGACGAGATTGTTATAAAATACATATTGCATGATAACAAATTTTGAGCTCATGAGGTTATACATTTATCAAGAAACATATGTTGCCCTAGTGGGATATTTTTAAATTAAAATCCATAATTATGGGCACATATTTATAATGTATTTTATCATAAAATATGAAAAATTAAGTGACCAATTATGTTATAAAGTCACAAGGTATTAGAAGTATCATGAAAATAAAAGTGTAGATACTATTAAAGTTGTATTTATAATTTGATGAGAGATAAAGTTATAAGTACAAACAATAACTTATTCTTAAATCAACTATATGAAGAGAGTATGGTCCCCAAAAAATAGATATCTCATATTTTCTCTTATCCATGTCAGAGAGTTTATACTCAAGGAAATTTTATCTTCTTGGAAAATCACAACCATAAGACAATCCAGCAAGGGAATTAAATTTTCTTGATTTGGCATGATTATATCTCTTTAATTTCATGTTTATTATGATTTGGCATGACTCTAGATGTTATAATAGAGGATTTAAAAGTTTAGTGTCTAATCATCATTGCTAATAACAACCACTCATGGTGGTTGAAATTCGAGTTGGTTCTTGTGCGGTTAAAAGTAAATGAAAAGAGTCAAGTCAACATAAAATTAAAGGGATATGATCCAGTGACAAAAAAATAAAAACAAGAACATTACAAAAAATTTGTGTTTAAATTCAAAAAAATTAAAAGTAAATGATCAAAATTGGAAACAAGAATAATGTTGTGATAAAATTTATAATTTAACTAAATTAGATTTAGACCATTCAAAAGAGGAAGGAAATTTAAAGCTAGCATTAGTAGTCCAATTCAAAATAACCCATATTCAAACCAGGCCACTCTTAATAGTCCAAAATCGAGTTTGCTTACAAGGGCTAAGTGTTTTGCTCGGTCCAACCCAATGTTGAAAAACGAATCCATATTTTCACATAAGAGATGCAGAAAAATATCACTAACCTTGTAACAGTTTGTAACCAAAACGCTTGGAAGCAGTAGATGAACACTTAATCGACGGCTCAAAACTACACAAATACACATGACACGGATCGATACATAAAATTATTGATAACACCTTACTCTCACGGGGCACATATTTCACTCACTCCAATCTCTGTGTCCACCAAAAAAGTCTAAACACACGGATCCACGTTTCAGCCGTCGATAACGTTCTAATCTGACGGTTAACCTTAACTTCTCATCCCTTTGCGGACACCGAGAGAAAAGCACACCCCCTTGGACATCCCTATTTAAACCCCTTTCACGTCATTTGCATTATTCAACAACTTTAATTTTCTTTTCGACCTACTTTTTGTCTCTTTGGGATACCCTACGAATCAACAAAAATGTCGGGCCGTGGCAAGGGAGGCAAAGGGCTGGGCAAGGGCGGAGCTAAGAGGCACCGGAAGGTTCTCCGGGATAATATCCAAGGCATAACCAAGCCAGCGATTCGAAGATTGGCTCGTAGAGGCGGCGTGAAGAGGATCAGCGGCTTGATCTACGAGGAGACACGTGGCGTCCTCAAGATCTTTCTGGAAAACGTCATACGTGATGCCGTTACCTATACGGAGCACGCCAGGCGTAAGACGGTCACCGCCATGGATGTTGTCTACGCTCTCAAGCGGCAGGGAAGGACTCTTTACGGTTTCGGTGGTTAGGTTGATTTTAGGCTGTAATTGGTTCCTTTGTATATCTTTTGCAACAGATCGTTGGTGTTGGTTATTAGTGTGATGGTGAACTTTCATTAGAATGTTTTCTGGTTTTTATCTCGAATTAAAATTTCCTCAGACCTTTCGTTGAATTCTAAATGTTAATTTTTCGCTTAAACATTTGATTTTGCAGTTTGTTAGTTTATCATTTCTTACACGAATGGTGACATGTTTGTATTTGGGGGTTTTTTTTTTTAATTTAAACCATATTTCATTCTTTAACAAATGCATCTTCAACTACAATAGCAGTAAGACGGGGAAATTGTAGACAATATATAATATAAATTATTTGTTATATATATTTAATAATTCGATACAATAGAATTTAAATTTGACTGATTTAAAATTTTATTTATATTGTTAAAGTTACAATTTCAAATATATATAATTGACGTATTCTATTAAAGGTTATATACACTTTTAATGTTCTTTTAAATTTTATTTTGATAAACATTTTGTTTACAATATTAAAAAACTCATAAATCTTCCTTTATTCCTAAAGAAACTATAATTTTTGAATTCATCAATTAATTTCAGTCATAAAGAAAAATTTTATTCTCCTTTAAAGTTTAAATTTGTGTAAAATTATAAAAATTTTATTCTTCTTTAAAATTATAAAATTTTAATTTTCCTTCAAAGTTTAAATCTGAGTATCAATTATATTTATAGAATGTGTGTAGTTGTAATGTTAATATAATTTTTGAATAATTTTTTAACTCTTCAAGTGATAAAATATTATTTTCTTATATTTATAGAATATATACGTTGATAATAAATTTAAAATATATTATTTATAATAATTTTAAATGATTTAAAAAACAAATATACTTTTTGTTAATAATTTAAGGAGAAGTACAAATGTTTTACTGATAAGGAAGGTGGATCTCAACGTTGGCATGTGAGAAAAGTCCGTAGTCTGATCGAATTGCTTATTATGTAATAAGCTTGGAAAAGAGAAAACTAATGACCCAACCGGGCTCAAGCCGACGACCTCTTAATCTGCAGTCAAATGCTCTACCGCTGAGCTGTAGACCCTTCGTTGTTCCAGCGTCGATTTTCAGATTATGACCACTACGTTTAAAATTTGAAGATAATATCATCATAGTAAAACCCCCAAAATAAAACACCAATAATTCAAGAACATGATATGCATCATTATTATCACCAATTTGGCATTCAAATAAAGCACGGTAAAATTTCTTGTAATGCTTACCTTTTAATTTCGTTTTGCTTACCCGACCTGAAATCAATCCAAACAGGAATTGATCCGAACTGAAAGTAAGAATTTTATTGTAAGATTGAAAATAATAACAAATAAAGTTTATTTATTTTACTTGTAATGAAGATATTATATTTATAATATAAATAATAGAAAGCTTACTTATGTTACATAAAAGGAATATAAAAGTAAGAACCTTATTGTAAGATTGAAAATAGTAACAAATAAAGTTTATTTATCTTGCTTGTAATAAAAATATTACATTTATAATAAAAATAATATAAAATTACTAAAACAAAGGAAATAATATTATATTTATAATAAAAATAATATAAAGTTTACTTATGTTAGACTAAAACTTAACAAATAATGTTATGTATTATTTTTTAAAATTTAACAAAAATATTAAATTTATAATTGGAAATAAATTTTTAATAAAAAATATTTCTTTATAAAATAGATAAACTTTCCATACAAATCAATATAAAATTTTGATAACAAGCTCTAACACGTAATATAGGATTGTACTTGTGCCAAAAATATCGATTTATCCTCTCTAAATAATGATTTAATTCAAAATATTAAACGATTGAGAATTAAAATTAGTCGATTAATAGATAAAAAATTAATTATTAAACAATAAATAAAATGTAAAATTTTGCAAAATTAAATATAGTATCATATTAATTAAAAATAAATATACCAGCATTTTTCAAAAATAAGTAAAATAAAATTAAGTGATAATATTAATATCGAAATAAAAAATATAATTAAATAATGATGTAATTTGCCTTTTATCCTCATCCTCATCCTCATCCTCAACCTCATCCCATGCAAGAGAGGTTTTCAGTGTGCTTTTTATATTTGTTTTTATGATTTGAGTATTCGTTCCCATTAATCATGAAATTATCTAAATTTATTTTTGAAGTTGTTTAATGACGAATTCATCAGACTGATTCATGACGTATAGGTAAAAAATATAAATTCATAAGCACATAAACTCATAAATATCTAACCGAAATTAGCACAAGTGACAGTAGTAATTTTCTTTATAAAACAATAAATGGTATTATAAAATATTTTTTGTGCTACAATTATAAAATATTATGGTCAAATAATACCCAGCTCGGTATAACATAAAATAAAAGTAAAAAATAAATTTTCTCATAAATCAATAGCCAATTTTATCCTGGTATTAATAAAGGTAAATTTCTATTTAAAATGACTAACAAGGTTATCCTATCATATGGTAAAAATAACACGATCTAATATAAATAAGCACATTCCTTGTTATATCGTATAGGCAACTCCATTAAAATATTAAAACTAATATTACCATACTGACAGTATATTACACTCAAAATGACGTAATTCCGAACGTGTTTAACATGTATTAAGCATTATATTAAGAAATTTAGTTTAATGTACTTCCAATGAAGCTCTAAAACCATATACTAAGCTGTTCCTTTTATATACCTTGGCTTGGAAATATTTATGTAAATAACATTTAAGCAAACAAGAATAGGATTAAACGAGGAAAACCAAAAGTAACTTGCAGTTCAGCATATAGATCCAAAACAATTTTGATTTTTAATGTCGCAGGTAAAAGCAATCCTTTTTCTAATAGGGCAAATTAGCCCTTTCTGTCCACAGTTCTACAAATTTAAACTTATAACAAACACGAAACATACCGAAGAAATTGCCAACTCCATCAAAAGCATCCACACCTTCCACTACGTGATCTGATTCGCAAATAATGATGCCTGGATAATTTATGTACTTCTTACCTTTCTGAGTAAGTAATAGTTCTGATATCTGTAAATAGAATTCAAGTTAAACCTGGACATTGGATATACATCAGACAATGTTCATTTAAATATATTGAAACTTCATCAAAACATGATCATAAAATCTATAATAATATGAAACTAAACCTTAAAGGAAGCCTCCACCAGTCCGTGAGGAATTGGATTTTCCATTTTGTCCGACAGCTTTTTTATCATATGAACCACCATTATAGAAATGATCATATCCATCGTCCTTGGCATCATCCCAGCCAGCCCAACCATCATTACTGCAAGAGGAAGTCACTTTTGTATTATCTTCCTTTCTGTTGCCTTTCATGTCCCAGTCATCCCAAGAACTTGAGTTATAAGAATTATTATTGCCAGCAGAAGAGGATTGTCCTCCGGTAGTAGAATTCCATCCATTATTCTCGTGTTTAAACTCATTATAATATCCGTTCTTCACACCATCATTTTGTTGCCAGTTATCGGTTTTCCAGTTCATGCCATCTTTAGTGTACTCCTCAACCTTCTGTGAAGCCATTGCCATGACCCCTTTCATGATGCCCCACGTCTTTTGGCCAATCTCACTTGTCTTTGCAGTGACAACATTGACAGTTTCATTAACCCTGGCATCATAGCCACCCTCCTTCACCTGCCAAAAATGGAAGAGGAAAACAATCATGATCTTGTGTATGCAATTTCCAAATCACCCGTATCCTTAAAAGTCACAATGCAAGGGTATAAAACTCATCAAGAAATAACTATAGTGTCTATGTTGTAGCCAAAACTAAAGAAGCATGTTTTCCCCCCCAAGGTATCAACCCAAGAATGTGAATTTGATTTTAATGTAATGAAGACTCTAAAAGGCCACAAAGAAGAATCATCAAGTCAAAAACTAGTTTCCTCTGCGGAATAAGAATTAAATGGGTACAAATTACTAAGGTTTAGAACAATAGAAAACAAGAGGATAAATGATTCAAATTTCTCATATATATATATATATATATATATATATATCACAGCAGTCTTGTGGTTTAAAATGAATAAAGAATAATAGACTCCAATAAGTTAAAGGAGCATCTAAACCTTGACAATGCATTTGATATTTAAAAGAGCAGTAGAACGCACAGAAAAGTAAAAAGTTCATAAAAATGAAAAGCTGCTGAAATGGAGTGAACTCTAATTTCTCTACAATTTGGACAATAGCAAAGAAATCAAGAGAAAAATGAAGTAAAATTATAGGTTGACCAACTTTAACTCATTGATTGATATGCACATTTTAAAGTTTATGAACTTATCCTAGAAGAGAAATATGCTCCCAAAATTTCCACGTCCTGCTTACCTCAAAATCATTGCCTTATATATTTTTTAAATATTTTTCAAGAACCATAAAATAATTGTGGGATTTTGACAGTTTATCATGCAATTATGTACAAATCATAAATGATTAGGTGAAAGTTTCTTTATACACAAAGAATTTCTGTAAAGAAGGTTCACAGACTCGCACCACAGTGCAATTCATACAATGCATTATCATCTGTAAAATCATATAATGATAAACAATGCCGATGCGTCTAAATAAAGATCAAAATGCAGACATGAACAGTTAAATATGAACTTGCAAAACAATCAAAGAAGAAATCATAACAGAAATTCCCCAAAAATACCTTCGAGGTGAACTCCTTTGATCCTGCTTGAACAACATTTGCGGCAGATTGAGCGGCAGATGCAGCTACCAAAGATAGCCTCCCAATCCCCTGCACCGTACACAACTTAATCAATAACTGACGAATATCACCATAAAGAACTAAACCCTAATTATGGGGAAAAAGAGGAATGAAATATTCTCTTAACCTGAGATACAACAGAGAGCACATCCCCTTGAGAATTATTATTATTCCTCTGCGTAGGCATAGGACTCGATCCAAAACCAACATACTTCCCTCCTTGTGAAGGGGGCAACCCTTCAGGCCTCGATTCATTCTCCGCCATTTTCCTCGCAAAAAAACTCTCCTTATTTGCCGCCGAAGCCTCCAATTGGGATCTCGTATACATATCCTCACTCGACCTCGACTTCACTGGTACACCTCCCATTCCACCACCGTGGTAATTCCCTGCTCTAAAATCACTAGCCGATTGATTCCTCCTCATGTCGCTCGAAGATCTAAAGGAATCGTCATTATCCCAACTATTCCATCCTCCATCATTCCCGCCCCGGCTACCTCCACCGCTCAACGGCGGCTTCCGATTACCACCAGAACCACCGTTCAGAGTCTCCTTCACAGCGGGTGGATCCCTCCAGGCACGACCCTCGGCTAGGGCTTGGATACGATCGCGGTAGATACTCGCGGCATTAGTGTTATACTTGGTAACGATATCGGTTTCTTTAGGAATACCGTATTGTGACAAAAAGGCGTTGAGCTTCTCGTTACCACCGGATTCCATCTTCTTGATCTGTATATCGGACCAGGAATCCATGGTAACGGATCGGACGAACGAGATGTGAACACCCAAACCGCGGTGTTTGCCTGAGCATTCTAAGCACATGAAAACGCCGTAAGAAACCGAAGCCCACTGAGGATTCTTTTGGTTACAATCGACGCAAGTTTTGTTACCCGGCTGTGATTGGAGATCCCGTAACCGTCTCGTTGCCGCCATTTTGGAATCAGGTCTGAACCGAATTCGATGAAGAAAGGGGATAATCAAAGAAATCGAACAATAGAGTCGATTGAATTTTTTTATTTTAAACAAAGATTGGAAGGCTAAATTTCAGGGATGGAGGGGGAGAATATCAACGACGGCGTGGAAGCGTAGCTCAGGGGAATGGGTGGAGATAACGGGCGGTGGGGTGGTTTTGGAATACGCGGTTTTGGGGACAATATCACCGACAGCGTAATATAAATGATAAAACTCGCGTCGTTTGTGTGAAAGGAAGTAAACATGAATTATCCAACTCAATTAGTGAGTTATGACTAGTTTTTGCACTTTGTAAAGCTTGCCTGGTCCTTATTGGCTGATACTGTGAGATTTAAAATTAAAGGTACTGTGGGTTAACGTAAATCTGGAATTTAATCTTGGATAGAATTTGATTTAAAATCGTAGAGATTCAGTGAATTAGGTCTCCTACCGAATTTACATGCTAATTAAGTATCAGTTAAAGTCTATAGTAAATCTGTATATTATATGTAAAGTTTATTTATAATTTCTTTATTATAAAAATGATATTTTATTAATTAGTTTTTATATTTTAAAAACTTTTTGGGAGATAAAATAAGATGAGGTGTGTATCATAAACAATTAAAAGAAAAATTAATTCTTAAACAATTTTTGAGTTACTATTATGAATTAATTTATATTAATTTAATTAAAAATGACAAGCATGTTTTTGTTTTTATATCATAATTAATATTGTTACAGTATTTATTATATATATATATATATTTTAAATTACTAAAAACTATGTTATGTTTAATAACATTTATATATAAGTATTGTATTAGTTGATCTATGATTATTATTAAGTTTTGAAAATATAAATCAAAATAACCAACGAAGATTGGTTCTAGTTATAAACAGATTGAATTATTTGAACTGGTCAAAGCGAAACATTAAAACTGATTGGACAACCAAAAAAACATATATAAATTAAAAATATGTTTAAGGAATTTTTTAAAATAGCGTTTTAATAAAAGGATATAATAAAAAAATGATAAATTACTAAAAATATATGTTATGTTTAAAAATATGTTAATTTCTTCCGTTGAGTGCAACGTGTCACATTCTGGTAATTTTAAAAATTTTATTTAAAAATTTTAAAAATAAAATTATATTAAAAACACAAAATTTTTGAAATAGCCCTAAAACTTTTAAAAAACTTCATTTCAACCCATAAACCCATATTGATTGTCTCCCTTTACCATCAACGAAGCTCCACTCAACCTCACCTCCCTCGATGATCAATAGCCATATGAAATCGCGACCGATCGACATTTTGTATCCCGTGAATCCTAAGATAAAAATCGTGATCCCATACAATTCCGGCGGTTAATCGGTGACAATTACTGTGGTGTATGACTAGGAGGACGATAGAGACTGCATCAACTACAATGACCGTGACAGGAAAGGAGGACAGAGATGGGTTAGAGATTTATGATTTTTAGGGATTTGAGTTTTTTTTGGAATTTAAGAGAAATTATGTTTTTTATAAATAAAATAATATTTTAATTTTTTAAAATATTATCAGAATGTGACATGTGTCACTTAACGGAAAAAACTAATGACAGTTACGACCCGAGCACATAAAGTGGTGACGTTTATAACGTTAGACACCTACATCATTTAAAAAATAGTTTAGGCATATATTCTTGAAAAACGCTATAGTTTAGACACTTATTTCATAATTAAACATTTTTTTAATAAAACTAGCGCATTCCATTAAAAAAGGCATAGTAGAGGACCTAAACTTGAATCTAACTTTTTTTTGGTAAAGTACACAAATGGTCCCTCGACTATAGGACACAACTATATTAAGTACCTCGACTATTAATAGTTAAAAATGATCATCTGACTATAGACCGTTGCTTTGCTAAGTCTCTCAACTATTAAAAGTTACAAAATGATCACCTGTCTATTCATTATGTTCCAAACTCATCATTTTTTGTTAAAAAAAAAGCAATTGTCTAAGCTAGATGTTAATGTGATGATTGGGTTATGGTAGTTGTTTAAGATTATGTGATCATATTTTTATATTATCACATTCAGCAGTTAACGTTCAGTTCAGAATACTGTCGAATTTTCAACGAAAAAGGACAAGTTTAGGACATAATAAGTAGCCGGATGACCATTTTGTAACTTTTAATAGTCGATGGACTCAACAAAGCAGCAGTCTATAGTCAGACCATTTTGTAATTTTTAATAGGGTAAAGTATATAAATAGTCCCTAAACTTTTAGGGCACTTGCATTTTAGTCACCCAACTTTTAAAACTTGAAATACAATCATCGAACTTTTAGTTCGTTTTCATTAAGGCCTCTGTCGTTACCTCCCGTTAGTTTTTGTTGACGTGGCATTTAACTGCCGTTAACCCTCCCCTCCCCTCATCTCCATCTTCATATTCTTCCTCTTCTTCTTCTTCTTCTTCTTCTTCTTCTTCTTCTTTTCCTGTTCCCGTTCACCTCACATCCGGTCACACTACCTCCGGTCAGCGGTGGCTCACACCACCATCACCATCGTCACTGGCGTCGCCTCTCGACCACACCTCGACCCTCGATTCATACTCACCATTCAACGTTCATCCCAAATCATGAAAGACCATTCAAACACCCATATTTGATCTCTTTCGTCAATCACCGGTGATCATCACCATCGGTACTAGTAGGAGTGCCACCCATTTCGACCAAAACCATACTAACCATTTGTCGAGACTCACCTTCGTTCGCCATGGAGAGGGCCCCCGAATCTTGTCAGAAAACCTCAACGCCCCTTTTATTTCATTCAATTTTCGGCTGATTGGACCATTCGTTCGCCACATCGCCACCACCGTTGGAGTTCTCATACCATTTCGACCAAAACCTAGTCGGTTGTGCTTCCTTTTTATCATCCCTCCTCCGTTCTTCGTTGGTTAAAAACAGAAAAGAAGAGTTGGGGTCTTCTCATGATTTGGGATGAACGATGGATGGTGAGTATGAATCGAGGGTTGAGGTGTGGTTGGGAGACGACGTTGGTGATGATGGTGATGGTGGTGAGCCACCTCTGACCCGAGATAGGGTGAATGAGAACGAGAAAAGAAGAAGAAGAGGAAGAAGATGAGGAAGGTTAACAACATTTAAGTGCCACGTTTACAAAAACTAACGGAAAGTAATGATAGGGACCTTATGAAAACGAACTAAAAGTTCAATGATTGTATTGTAATTTTTAAAAGTTGGATGACCAAAATGTAAGTACTCTAAAAATTTGGGGACTATTTATATACTTTACCCTTTTTAATAGTTAAGGGACTTATACTTTATCCAATTTTGTTTAAAATAGTAAGTAAATAATTTTCAACGGCCGACCGGTGCTGACGTTCCAAAATCGCTTCCCTCCTCATTTCTCTCATTTCCTTCCATCAGATCTCACTCTGCTTTCCCCTGACCCGGTATTACTTTCATTTCAATTCACTAAATAAAATTCAAAAAATCCAAAAACACAAAAATTTCCTTTTACATTTTTTGATAGATTTTTACTTTTTACATTTGATTATTAACATCAAAGCTTTTTGTTGTTGTTGTTGTTTTTGGTCTAGGGTTTGGTTTTATTTTTGTTTGATTCGATAGACTGCTTCTATTAACATGGCTGCTCCACCTGCAAGAGCTCGCGCCGATTACGACTACCTCATAAAGCTCCTTTTGATCGGTGACAGCGGTAATTATTTCTTATCTCTTCTGTTTATATTGTGCATCTTGATTTGAAATGCGATCTACTTGATGTGCATTGATTTTGCGAAATGTTTGCGTTCGTTGAAAGGATTTGATTTATTTATTTTTAGTGGAAAGCTAAGTGTGAGACCGTGATGTGTGTATCAAGACCATTACCTTAGGCTTATAGATTATCTTACGAATGTTTTATTGCAATAGCGAGGTTGATTGGAAAACAATGTCTGTTTTTATTGTGATTCTATGATAAATTTCTATTGTTTTTTTTCGTATGAATATATTTGATAATGTATTGTTTCTTAATATAGCTCATTGACATGGAAGTATTATTTGTCTGGATTAGTGTTTTGATGATTTTATATTGGAGCCAGTAGCATGTACATTTGCATGAGAGAACCATTGCTCAATTCAGGCCATGGATGCTACAATTAGTTGTAGCTGCCTATAACTTGGAACTGATAAGTTATATACTTTTTTAAGGAGTTTTTTCTTGGTATTTTGTGCTTTCTTTTTGAATTTTCGTTCTGAAACTGAATAGTCTGTTTATTTATGTTATTGTGTGGGCAGGTGTGGGAAAGAGTTGTCTCCTTTTGCGTTTTTCAGATGGCTCATTTACTACAAGTTTTATCACGACCATTGGGTAGGTTTTTTTGAATCGTGGTAACTTGTCTTATTATTGTTACGAGTATTGTTTCTGAACGGGGCATGTGGTTTAATAAGGCTGTCTCTCATTTTGGCAGGATTGACTTTAAGATAAGGACTATAGAGCTTGATGGGAAAAGGATCAAACTGCAAATTTGGGATACTGCAGGGCAAGAGAGGTTTCGAACAATTACAACTGGTTAGTTTTTCGGTTTGTAGGCTTCACTGACTGGAAATGAATGGTCTGTTTAGAATTATAAATAACTTATAGTCGTAATAGCATGACTTGGGCATTGTTTTACTTGAGCCTGTTAATTGCGAGCATTGTTGTGTCGTCTGACTTGCCATTTATTCTCACTCAAAAATTGTGAATTTCTATAACAGCTTTAGTTCAAGGTGGTTGCTGTTGCTTTATCATTTTCCTACTCTCTGATTTTTAGTCTTTAGGAAGTTAGGAGTTTGTCTGCTTCCATGGTTCGCACAGTTTCTAACCTGCCCGTTGTCATACACTTGAATTGTATGACAGGACTTGGAAATAAAATTTTGAAGAACAGTTGCTTACCCATTCATATTTTCTAGATTCTTGATTGAAGGTGTTCGATATTAGCGTCATCTTTGAGGGTGTTTGAAAATTTTGCCTCTGCATAGTATTTTACTTTTTGTCTCTTCAGATGTCTACACTCCAATACACAGTGATTCCTGAATTTTTTTGTCTTCCAGACCCTTGTCTGGTTAACAGATGAGTTCAGTAATATTTTCTTTTCATGCAGCTTACTACCGTGGAGCCATGGGTATCTTGCTGGTGTATGATGTGACTGATGAGTCATCTTTCAATAGTAATTACTGAACTTTATGTCATTTGGATTTTCATGCATAAGTTGTTCTACCTTTTCTTACCTCTGAATCATTAAAAATGTGTATGTTTCCACCAACTCTCGTTCATCATTCAAAACTATCAGTTTCCTAAAAGGTTTAAACATGAAAAGTATATTCCTTATCCATTGATTTGAAATTTTATTCTTTTTCCATTATAATGATCTTATCAATTGAACAACCTTTATACTCAGACATCAGAAACTGGATTCGAAATATTGAACAGCATGCATCAGACAATGTCAACAAGGTTCTGGTGGGTAATAAGGCCGACATGGATGAAAGCAAAAGGGTTTGTTTCTCTTTCTTTTGTTCGCTTCTGTGAGCTTATTGCTTGCATTTATGGTTATCCTTATTTTTGGCATATTGGCCTGGTTCAGTTTCTTGTATAAGTTGCTGAGGAATTTTTTTTCAGGCTGTCCCTACTTCAAAGGGCCAAGCTCTTGCTGATGAATATGGCATCAAGTTCTTTGAGACTGTATGAAATCTTTACTCCGTATTTTGGAGTTCCCTTTTATGTTTAGCGATCTATTATATATGCTCAAGAGCCAACCTATCTTGCAGAGTGCAAAAACAAACTTGAATGTTGAGGAGGTTTTCTTTGCAATAGCCAGGGACATTAAGCAGAGACTTGCGGATAGTGACGCGAGGGTTGAGGTATCATATCTCTTAATTGGAAGTATCTCGCTTCTGATGAGAAATGCATACTCGTTATAATTATGCAAATCATTTTCTTAAACACATTTAAAAACACTAGTTCCTAATGAGACAAGCATTGCATTCGATTTTAGTTTATTTATGCTTATTGTAGTAATGTTTATTTTCTTCCTATTTGCAGCCAAATGCAATCAAAATTAGCCAACAAGATCAGGCAGAAGGGTCTGCAGCTAATGCTCAAAACTCAGGTTGCTGCGGGTCTTGAAGAAAGCTACGATTGACGATGGGCTTTGAAGGGTACATTTTCTTCTCTCGAGAGCTCTATCAGTTTGGGAAAACTAATTTCATTATAACTATATCGTTCATGTTTGTATGTTCCTGCTTATCATTATTTTTACATCTATTACTCTTTTGGTGTGAAATGATGGATCCTTGATATCATGCAACAATTAATCATATTAGATTGTTTTCCCTAGATGACATTGTGCTTGAAAGCAAATTTGTCTACCCACTTTGATATTTTGAGTTGAAGTTAAGACCCCTTCACGCCAAGAATCAGACCATTGAGTTGGGTCTACTTTTCATAATTTTTAAAATTTGTGAGCGATTTAAGCATTCCAATATGCTTTTATTCAAGTTGAGTTGAGCTTAGCTAGGTTTTAATTGAGCTTTCTCAAATTTAAAAATTATTTAAATTGATAATTAATCAGCGCTTATAAATTTGCTTCCCTAACAAGTAACTTTAAATTGATAAACTGATGTTTACACAACATCATAAAGAAAATAAATAAATCTCACATTTCAGCAAAATAGAAAGATTAAAGCCATAATTATAGGTTCCCTGCTGAGATACAAAGAAATACATAAAATAGCAAGCATCCCTCTTTGAAACATCGACTCCCTGCTTTTTAGCATGTTCCCTAGCCCATGTTTAGAAAAAGGCAGGTTCAGTCAGTGGTGCTGTCACCCATTAACAAGCTTCCCTCGTATGTACACAAAAGAGATAACCCTACCTTGCGACTTGCAAATGAATATGGTCGTTTTACGACAACTGTTTCATTTCATCCTTTCCATATATAGGTTGAAGCTCAACACTGACAGGTAAAAGTTACTGAAAAAGATAAGATTCGCACATGAGTAGAAATCCTTGTTGTTTTAATCGACGACGAGTACTCACTAAATGTAGTTGCTACAAAAATGATGTTCGGGTGATTTAAATCTATAGCAACTAGCAGAATGTTAGGTAACAAAAAAGAAGCAATTTCAGTTCGATACCTTACATTACCTTTCCAAAGCCAGAAGCACTTCTGGTTAATAGGTGAGCCGGTTATTGTCTGAATATCGTCGAACAGCATATTCTGAGGTGTGCTTCTAAGCTCTTGGACAATCCCATAAATTGTCTTTCCATTCTCAAAGTATATGTGATATCCCGAACTCTTTATTACACCACGGAGCTCCTTCTGAGGTACGTAAAAAGAAGCAGGCTAACCAGACAGTAAGGTAAACTAAAAGAACACGTGAAATGTGATTTCACCTCCTGTGACCATGCGATATATTTAAAACGAACTCCATCAAGCATACCAGTTGACAACAAACTTCAAACATTTGATGGGAAGTTATTAGAAGCTTCTTCTTCTTTTTTTCTTTTTTTTTAAAATGTTTTTGGCTCATCTTTCCTCCTAAAAACTTCAGCTCCAGAGGCAATGGCATTCTTGGATTGAACCAACTCTTTTTCACGAGGAGCATTTGATCTTTGGATGAAAGACTGACCCATCAACAAATTATAGCTTGATATAATACTCCCCAATCATCGTCATAGCCACCAAACGATATACTAGTACTCTCTCCCCTACTATAGGGCGGATCAACAGACAAATTATAGCTGCCCCCCCCCCCCCCCTTGTAGCTACGAGTAATAGATATGGTGTTGTGGTCTCCTTTACCTATCGATAGTAACAGAATTATCATCTGTCCCGTTGTAGGTTTAACACATGGACATGAAATTGTTATCACCCTTATCAAAGGAATTGCTCATTGCAAATCCATTGTTATCCTCACTTTTGCTATAGTATTGTCCCATAGACATGAAAACATTGTTCTTTCTTTCATAGGTGTCACCAATAGAATCCCCTTTGTTATAAGGAAGGCCCACTGGCATAATACCATCTTCGACCTTGCTGTAATCATGATCAGTTGACACAGAGTTGTTATCAACCCTATTCAACACGTATCCCATTGATGCAGACATGATATTCTCCGAATCCTTGACCTCACAAACTTTTAACTTACTAATCCCCCCCCCCAAAGATCAACCCTGATCGAGGATCTTCCAATGTATGATACATAGATAAACCAAATGATGAATCACTTGTAAATAAATCCTCATTAACCTGTCTCCCCATGAGAACCTTCTCAATGTTACCAGAAGAATAGCTTTGATCATCAAAGTTCACTGCTCGAGCTGTTTCAGTATCAAATAACCGTTCAGAAAACTGCCCCGAGATTGAAGTAAAACCAGATACATTTCCCCATGGAGAAACATTCGAATTCAAGATTCCAGAAAATAAATTGGTTGTTGGAACCTTGATTTTAAAAGGCACAAGGCGCAACTAAGCGCAAAAGGTCCCTGTAACCTAGGTGCAAGGACCAGACGCACACATTTCGTAGGCAAGACACACTTTTATACTAAAAAACCTATAAATCAGTTATGAAACATATTTTATACTTAAAATAATATTATAAATATATCTATGATAAAAAGTTTATAAATTAATTGTATGAGCATATTTATACTCACTACTCACCGATTAACTCCTAAAATACTTGTCTACAATGTATTACTTTATACTTAAAGTTTTTAATATTTAAAACCATTATTCTATTTATTTTTATAAACATATTTTAATCCCTTCCACCAAAATCTACATTGTTATTGATTTATACTTAATGTTTTTAATATTTAAAACTATTATTTCATTTATTTTTAAATGATACAAATTTATTTTATTATCAATTTAAAATTTGTAATTATTATAAAAAATAATTTTTATATTTAACAAAATTTATTAAGTAATTAATATTTAATTTAATATTTAATTATTTTAAAAATTAAAATTAATTATGTATTATGAAATAACTAAATTTCTAAAAGAACATATACTTTGGGTTAAAAACAGACAAAGGGCGGAAGAAGTTATAATGGTTTGCTATAAATAAATAAACATTAGAGTTGGATTATAAATTTAGGCTATAGGGTTGAACTTGTTAATATGTCAAATATTAGGGTTAAGAAATGAGAAAATGTGATAAAAAAAAGAGTTTTCAAGTCTTCTTCCTTTCTTACTATTGTAATTCTTTTATGAGAAAATAACCTCAGTGACCAAAAATCCCAGATAATATACGATTTTGACCAATTTTTTTTGGATTTACGAAAATGACCAACAAAATCGCAATGCGATCTCTAATTCGCATTGCGATCTCCACTATCGCAAATTCGCGTTGCGATAGTTGAAAATCGCGTTGCGATAGTTGAAAATCGCGGTTCGCGTTGCGATAGTCTACAGTTGTCGTTGCGATTTTCCAAAATCGTTGCGAAAATTCGTTGTGATAGTTAAAAAAAAGATTTTGTTTCTTAAGAATTTTCTCTAAAAAGATAGTATCCGCGCGGACGTGTCGAAGACAAGTATTACCACGACCACGACCCGACCACGACCCGACCCGACCCGACACGAGACGGACGGCGGCGGCGGCGGCGCGCGAGAGTCCCCCTTGTTCTCTATCACTCAACAAGGAAGTGGGAAAGCCAAGCCTTAAATATCATTCTCAATAGTGTTTCCAATACTATGTGGGATTGAGCATTACCAACACTTGTTTCAAATACAATGTGATTATTCAGAAAACAATTAACAATCATGCACCTTAAAACAACTGAATCATCAACCAATTGCATTAGTATTATACGATTAAATATGTCATAATTAAAAGTCAATCTACAATCAATCGCGATTATTGCAATTTTAAGCAAAACATTCAAAAATAATATCACTATTTAAGGCTCAATCCCACATAGTATTGGGAACAAGTGTTGGTAATGCTCAAATCCCACATAGTATTGGAAACACTATTGGGAATGGTATTTAAGGCTTGACTTTCCCACTTCCTTATTGAGTGATAGAGAACAAGGGGGACTCTCGCGCGCTGCCGCCGTCCGTCTCGGGTCGGGTCGTGGTCGTGGTAATGGTAATGGTAATGGTAATACGTGTGTTCGTCACGTCCGCGCGGATACTATCTTTTTAGAAAAAATTCTTAAGAAACAAAATCTTTTTTTTTTAACTATCGCAACGAATTTGGAAAATCGCAACGACAACTGTAGACTTTCGCAACGACAACTGTAGACTATCGCAACGAATTTGGAAAATCGCAATGACAACTGTAGACTATCGCAACGCGAATTTACGATAGTGGAGATCGCAATGCGAATTAAAGATCGCATTGCGATTTTTTTGGTCATTTTCGCAAATCCAAAAAAAATTGGTCAAAATCGTATATTATCTGAGATTTTTGGTCACTCGGTTATATTCTCTTCTTTTTTTTTATCATCTTCTTTCTTCTTTAATCTGTTTAACTTCCTATTAATATCTTTAAAAAAATCCGAAAGGCGCAAATGGGTTGCACCTGACGCCTAAAGCCCAGAGGTGCGCGCCTCTTATATCTCGCCTCGCCTCGCCTCTTCTCAAGAGGGCGCCATCTCAGTGCCTGGCTGCGCCTCGTTCTTAGGGCTCTTCTTTTAAAACCAAGGTTGGAACCCCAAACGCCTGGTTCTAGTTAGGATATAAGTCTGTCTCAGTACCATCCATGAACCATTGATGAGAGTGTTTGGGATCAACTCTAGATGAAGTATCATACGTCATCTCACCATCGTTTAAACCGGCATCTTTTGTCATCCAAATGCCCTGATTCTGAAAAGACTGTCGCATGTAACAAATTCCTAATCGGAGACTCTAAGGCCATGTAGAAGATAACAACAACCAAATATTTTCAATGATCTAGTATCAAGATTGCCGTACGCCATCAAAAATTATAACAAGAGAGCTTCACCAATTGCTTTACAGAAAGCTACTAGGCACATACAAGCATGCATTTAATGAAGGATCAAATTTACCACTAAACAGAAAAATTATGTAACTCCAGGCTTAAGCAAATAAAGTAAAACCTAGTGAAAATTGAAACCATTAATCGCTAAATATCTGCTAAATTGAGAATAAATCAATCGAAAAACCCCGATAACTAGAAATTCTACTCTCTCTTAAACTGTATAATACTAAACCATTTCCAGAAATTTATTATATTTCCAGTGTCAAACTGTGAAGTTCACTAATAAAAATTACATTTATTTGAAAGTATAAAAAAATTAAAAAAAACTATAGAACCTCTCGAGAAGACAGTTTACGTAAAAAAAGGGGTAACAGGGGAGAAAAAAGCGGAGAGATCTTCATTGTGGAAATAACTGCAATGAGACGTTTGATTACGAAGGCGACGATCGGTGATCAGATAAAGGGAAAACTTTCTGGAAGTGGTTGACCGGAAACCAAGCCGGCGATTGTACGAAAGTTTATTGCAGCGAGATCTATAAAGGACGGAGGGGAGTTGAGGTCTTTGGCGGAAGAGATAATATAAGATTGTGCCTTTGTACGATCACACTCTTTTGAGTAATATTTTTCGAAGTAGTATCATTTCGGTTGAGGTGGTATAAAGGTGTATTATGGGGATGCGTTTTATCTAGGTTTATGCTAACTGGGATGTCACGTGTGTAAGACACATCCTCGGGGACACGCTTTCACGGGATTCTGCTGAGTCGGATGTCACTGGGGTAAAGCGTATCCCCAAGGACGCGCATTCCATTAAATGTAATAATTGTCCATCCGTTTTCCCCCAATTACCTTATATAAACCCCCCAACCTCTTATTCTTCACACCAAAATCATCTTCTCATCTCTTATATAACTCAAATTCTCCAACTATTTGAGTTTTAAATTTCTTATTAGTGGTAAGAAATTTATTTTTAAGTTAGTATCTTTTTAAATAGTTTTTATATTTTATAGTAATATGATTATATAAATATTATTTTTTATTAAAATAATATTTATATAATTATTATTTATTTAAATTTATTAATTAATTATTTTTTGTGCTAATTATATTTTTTTGTCTACAGTTATAATGGAAAGTGAAATGCTGCTGCGATTGGATACAAACCACATCTCCAGACATTTTAATGATATAATAATATTTTTTTATAATTAATGTTAATATTTATTATTATTTTTAATTTAAATTTATAATGAATTTATATTAATTATAAATTTGTATAATGCATATTATTTAGGAAACTGATCGTATTTAAGAGACTTTTATTAAAAACCCACGTATACCGACACCGCAACGTATTTTGCAATATTTTTCTTCTGCCGGGTTCGGGTATATTGCAACAATTATTGGCGGTTGTAAACTCGAACCTGTCATAATTTCTACATTGATTGAGAGGTGAAAGCCCAAGACACACACATTTCATTTTCCATGTGGAGAGGCTACAATTACATTGGAGGATGTCTCTATGCATCTGGGGCTTCCCGTCGATGAGAATATTATGTGTGGTATGCGGATGATGATTGGCAGTCAATGTGCATGGAGTATCTTGGAGTTGTTCAGCTAGAGTTTAATGGAGGTAGAATAACATTATCGTGGTTGAAAGCTAATTTTGAAGTTCTGAATGAAAATGCTTCAGATGATGAAGTAAAGGCATGTGCTCGGGCTTATATTCTACGAATCATTGGAGGAATATTGATGCCTGACAAATCTCGCAACCAGGTGCATTGTATGTGGTTGTAGCATCTGATTGATTTTGATGATGCTGGAAGATATAGTTGGGGCGCTACAGTTTTGGCATTTCTCTTTAGATAAATGTGTTGTGCGATAAATTATAAGAAAACTGCTATCGGTGGATGTCTCTTGCTTCTGCAATCATGGCGTGGTTCCACATGCCTTTCTTATGCCCGATCGTCAATGAACCATACGTATTCCCCTTATTATTGAGGTAATTTTCGAACTAAATTTTGATTTAAATATTTTTAATTAAATAGGGTGATATTTAGTTTATATTATATTTCATAGGTGGTCGATGAAAAGAAAGAACCATAGAGATATACCTACTGGACTAGAGGAAATCCGTTTACTTATTGATAAAAAAGCTAGGTCTGGGTATGTTTTGAAATATGTTTAAATATGAATATTTAAATTTAAAATGTTAGATATAATTAGAATGTTATATTTATTTGAATTGTATATTTATATTTCAGTTTCAGTGGATACCTTATACGAGCGATGAAGTAAATGCTTGCATCCCACCCCACCTGAGTGGGTCATTAGAGGTTTGGATGTCAATTGTACATCTTATTTGTTATGCTATTATTGAGTGGCATCCAGTTGATCGCGTGCTCTGTCAGTTTGGTTGTACGCAATATATTCCTGGAGAACTTAGGAATTTAGACGACATGCATAACATCGATAGACGAGGCAAGAAAGAGGTTAACTGGGTGGTGAGACACAGAGATTGGATTGCGCTTTGGGAGAACCAGTATGCACAGTTGACCCCTCGACAATTTTACGCTAAAACTGGTTATATGGTTACGGATAACTATATGGACTAGTTTAATGAAAATGGAAAGTCGTTTCTACTTTCGGCGGAAGCACGATGTTTAACATTTTTAGGCACCGAGAGAGACGTCCACCATCTCAATATCATCATCCCCCGACTCGTGGATGGAGAGAAGGCGCTATCGGTTCTGCATCAGTCCCACCATAACATCCCTATCAACCGATGATGATGCCTAGCCCTCCAGTTCAGATGCCATCTCCTCACGGGTATATGCCAAACCCACCAGTTTATATGCCATCTCCGTAGGGTTACATTCCTAGCCCGCCAGGTTACATGCCTAGGCCGCAGGGTTTTATGACACCATATGGAGGTGCATATACGACTATGTTTAATGATCCATCATATGGTTCATATGCATCTTATTTGGCTGGTGGTCATTCTCCACATACACCTCAACCTCTATCTGGATCACATACATCGATGTCAATGTTTTCACACTTTTCTCAATTTTCTATGAGCGGTGAGATTGTTAGTAGCACTCCTCCAGGGTCGTTATTGTAACACCCAACCCGTACCCGACCCGAATACGAGTATGAGGTGTCACTTTGACTTTTCAAACCTTGACACTTAAAGAAAAACCCCGAGAAATTTAAAACTTTGTTTAAAACAAATTACTTTAATTTACATAAAAGAGACCACAAAATACAAACTCAATCAGAGTGCTAATAATTAACGACTTATTACATGCCAACACTTTATACACACCAAAATACATACTTTGTCGATTACTTCTGATCTGAACTTCTAGTAGTGATGCTATCGTTGCCACTTCTATTACTGATCTTCTCGTTTCTTGGTACCTACGTGTAAATCACTTACACGCTAAGTCATAGACTTAGTGAGGCAATACATAAACTTGTAACAATAATTTCATGAATATGCATTCTTATCATTTGATCATAACATTTCAATATGCATGCATATATTTCAATATGACATATATAAATCATGTCATGCACATGTGAAACTTACTTTCTTGTATCACTTTCACTTTAATTTATCTTGCAATTGTATTGCCCATGTATAATATTGAGAATAGAGGTATGTGAGTACATTGTGGTTGTGCACTAATGCTGTCACCACAGCTCGATAAATTCCCTCATGGGGCACCGAACATTCGTTCAGTATTGATATTTGTCCCGAAGGACCACATGATATGTCCCGAAGGACCACTTGAATATGTCCCGAAGGACCACGTGATATATCCCAAAGGACCACTTGAACCCTCGACTCTTGGCATGCCAACTATACCTATAACTCTCGTATCATATACTATGGGCATTTTTTATGAATATATTTCTCATTACTTGTTCTTTCTCTTCTGTCACATACCACATGCATGTGTAACCATGTATTTCATATCATATCACATGTATCATGTATTGCATATTCATATGTCATTTCATATATACACATAGCTTATTTCATTTCACATTGGTCATGTCTCATAGCATATATCACATATGCATATAATCAGGCATATCATATCATATATCTTATGTTTTATGCTCTTATGATTATGCATATCATGTATTCATGTACATATAAAAATCACATATCAAATAACATTTTAGGAGTCACTTCTTACCATAGTAACTCCATCATTGGCTCATCACAAGCCAATATTCGTTCAATAATATAATTACAATTAAAATTGCACTCACCTTAGCCTTGTTTGATTTGAATCAATTATAATCCTTTGATTATTCCAGAACTTGTTTAGGCTCAATATCTACATAAATATAACATTTCAAAACAACTATCAGAAGCCTAAACCTTAAACTTGATGTTAACAACTTAAGCCAGATTATTGAACCAAATTTCATTTTTCCTTTAGGGGGAATCGATACCCCCTAGACATTCTTGAAATTTTCTTTCAAGAGGGGGAATCGATTCCCATTCATAGGGTATCGGTTCCCTCTACCCAGAAATTGTATTTCAATCCCGAAAATCATCAATTCTTCCTTCAATTCTTCTATATTAAGCGCTTTTCATGACATTAAACTCAACTACCATTACTTAAACCAACTTATATCCATGAAAATCATCTATAACTTCAAAATCCTATCCTTCATATAATTCAAGAATCATACTAAATTTTCCATGTTATCCAAACTTAATTCCAACACTTCTATCTTCTTATTCTCATAGATGACAAGTCAAATTCAACTTAAAATTCAACTTATCAACTCTATTTCAAAATTTCATTCAAAAACTCAAAATCTTTAATCTCTCATATACCTTTCATCTTGTTGTTTTAGAACAAATTAAGCTTTCCTTAAGCTTAATTATCATCTAGTGATCATAACCCAACTTTTAAAACAACAAATAAGCAATAAAATAGAAAACTCACCTTTGCTGTGGCTTTCTCTCGTATGGAAGAACAAAGAGGAGACGAATAGATATTCTTCTTATCCCTTTCCCCGTATATATCCTCAACATAACACAATTTAATCATTTAATGGTTAAAAGACCATTTTGCCTTTAATTCTTTGGATAATTACTATAAACTTTTAGGAAATATTTCCGAACAAATCATTACACTATTCAAATATCCTACTTCAATCACCAAACTCTGAAGTTTTACAATAAAGTCACTAACCTGTATTTTGGGATGTTACAGTTATTTTATACATGCCCTTCAGCGTCATCTACAACACCAGCCGAAGAAAATACCGATGATGATGATGATAGTGAAGATGAAGAGATTGAAGAACAAGTTCCATGAAGAAATCCTCAGCGAAATAGACAACCACCGCCATGTGGAACTCATTCGAGAAGACGACATCGGTGATCCAGTTGTGGACAAATGCGTATGACGGGGGGGGGGGGTATCGCTATGGTCATATGACAACCAACTTGGCTGAAGCAATAAATTCAACCTTAAAGGGGGCGCGTTATTTACCAGTCACGACGTTGGTCAAAACGACTTATTTTCGTTTGGGTCAACTCATTACAAAGCTCGATGGACAAGCTCTTACTTGGATGTAAAACATCCATATTTACCACCCAAGACTAGTAGTTGATTTACAGAAAAAAGTGGTTGCATCAAATGTGATGTTGGTTACAAATTTTTCTCATACCCGTGAATTGTTTCGTGTAACCAAAATGCCACGTCCGCTGCAAGGGATTAAAACTAACTCTTTCAGAGTTAATTTGCAAGAGAGGTGGTGTGATTGTGGTTTCTTTCAAGCACTCAAATATCCATGCTCTCATGTCATTGTAGCTTGGTCATATTCGCATTTAGACTACAAAAATTATGTTGATCCCGTATACCAACTTTCACAAGTATTCAAGATATATGAATTTGAGTTTCTACCCATAGGAAACGAAAGAGACTCAGATGAGATTCAAACTTGGCTTACAATTGTATCAGATCTACTGCTATTGAGGGACTCAGGTCGTCCAAAATCTACTAGAATACATTGTGATATGGATATTCGGGAGAAGTCAACAAAACAAAAACAATGTGGGCATTGTAGAAACATCGGACACAATAGAAAAAAAATGTCCAGCTCTGTTATCATCACATAACCGTTAACCCTTATGTAATTAATATTCTATTTAAATGAATGTTTTTGTTTATAATATTTAAATGTAATTGTATTTTCTATAATTTCTCAATGTATGAACACCTAAATATTTTTTTTAATTTTTATTTAAAAATTATTTTATGATATTTATTTAATATAATAATTAATATTATTTATTATAAAAATTAATTATTAATTTTAAAATATTATAATAATTCCACATTCTAAGTAGAGAAAAAAATATTAAATTAAACAAATTAAAAGTTATAAAAAAATTTATGTATACGATGACACATTTCATGTTCTGATTGGAGGATTAAATTTATTAAATTAAATTAAAAGTAAAACTAAATTAATAAAATATGTAAGTATTGAAGATTAAATGTGTAATTATATTAATTTTATT